GCTATTTAAATGACAGTCCTATGGAAGAGTATACAACTCAAGGAAATCTATGGGTACTTACCAGGCACATTTGGCTCCAGATTTCAGTGGCGGCAGGTTAATGGAGAAGGGAAAAGGGAAATAGGTGGATTTGTAGGTGTTATACAGTGTCTGAATCTGTGCTGGTCACACAATACTAAGAAATGCTCACGGAATCAATGAAAAAACAAGGATAATCAGGGCCAACAACCTAGTAATATAAATACAAAATTCCTATTACTCTACTTGAAAGTTGTCAGTAAAGAAATTGACTTTGTGCCTAGAGCTCCTATTTGACATAGCTAAATCCTTTATCAATATCAGCTTTCCCCTGCTTATCCAATAATGGCCTTTCTTCCTTGCTTTCATTTTATATCCCAGTTACTTTTAAATTTGCACCCTGCAAATGTTGCCAATATTCTGTGCATCTTACAGACTGTTTATCCTAAAATGTTCCTCCTACAGTGTAGTTCATCAAGACCCTACCATAGTCTACTGGTAATAAAGCTTAATCAGTCTGGAACCACATGGCTCTGACTTATTTGAAAAGGTAAGACTGAAGATATAATACACTGATATTCCTTGAATTTATCAACTAGTTGCAAAACTAAAATGATATCTAGTTTTACAGAGTCATTTTGCTCCCTACATGCATATAATATCACAGTTTGGAGAAAAAAAAAAACTGAATTATATCCTTGGGCAGAGCCCAAGTAGCTGCAAATACTTTCAGGTATCTTATTTGATGGCATGCTTTTATGCATAATAATATTCCTAAAAAGTTAAGTAGCAATAGTTATGTAGCAAATACAAAAAAAAAAAAAAGATGTATTTGACTTTTGCTAATGAGTTTGGCATACTTAAGACATCAAAATTTTAGGAAAAGCTCCAACCAAAATCAATCTGCCATCCAAATCTGTTTCGAAAAAGAAGTTAATGCAAGAGCTTTCATAAATTTTTAAAAGGTAATTTACATTAAGCCAAGGTTGTCATTCAAATTTAATCTCTATTGCTGAGTATGATGCATGATTAAAAGCCATTACAATTAATGGAAAATATAAGCAAATGTTAATACCTTAATACAGCATTAAAAAAGAAAAAAAGAAAAAAAAAAAAAAGCAGTGGAAACCTGAGTAAAAAGAAGCCAGGAAGCAGCTGAAAAAGAGACCGGTTCACTGTGAGAAATGTAAACCTCTCAGACAGTGCTACGGCCCCGAATCCAACAGCTCAAGAACAAGGCCAATTATTGCAAAATATTAAACATATATGGTGAAGGTGCAAACTTTTCAAAAGAGTCATAAGAATGAATGAAAGCAGCTACACAGAAAACAGCCAGGGCTTTGAAAACCTAAAATCCTTGCTATGACTACTACCTGCAGGAAAGGTTTCTTTATAGTATACCAAGCTCTTTACACGTAGTATACTTTATAGCATTCAAGCTGTAAGTTTTATGATAAAGGGTTAAGATAACAAATCCTTATTACTGCAACTGGTAAGTAACCAGATCTTCTGAAATTGTTGTTTATATGACTCCAGTTCTTGACAGTAAGTAACTAAACTATGGTAAACCAATTCTCCAATATTCTATCTTTCTGAACTAGAAATGACTCATATAAGAGAGACACATAAAATCAAGGAATTTTAGGGTACACAGAGGCTTCGACAGACAATACAGTAAAATTCTCTTACTTTGAAAGTTAGTACACTGAAACACAGCTTTAAATGATACACTTAACACTAGTAAAAACAAATAAAGGTTCTCAGGATTTGACTTCTATGTTTTCTTTCACGTTATACAATACATTATCTGAAAAGCCTTATGTAGCCAGAATTTCTTTTGTGGATAGGGGTTGACTCAACCTTGTTTTAAATTAAATGTTTTTAGTTTCATATTTAAATAAAAGATTTGTATATTCATTCCTTCCAGTAATGTTAGTACTGATTTCAATTTAGTTCCCACAAGAGACTCAAGGTTTACTGTCAAAGAAAACCAATAACTATTGTGGTCCTCTGACATACGCATAGATGAAAGACCAAAGAATTTTATCCTTGAGATATTTCCCCAACTTCCTCATTGCTCCCAGAAGGGAAAATAAAAGAAAATCCTATATTTTATTGTTCATACCCTCCCTGGTCTTAGAATACTTGATTCGATGGGTTTGTTAACTGAGGGCAAAATTTATTTAAATTCATATACAAATATTTAAAAAATTCTTTGTGCTTTAGTGAAGAAAAATTATTCCAAATCTATCAATGCTTTAATTATTTGGTTGAATAATTAGTTTCACCTTTTTACATAATAGAAAATAATATGCTTGACTAAATGTTGTTTGACAAGACAAAAATATAAGATGTGAAAATTTCTACTTTTAATCAGATTGAGAGAGTAGAA